TCATTAAAAAGTAGCCAAGCGTAATGGACAATTTTGAGTCGCTAAAAAATTTACCGCATTAAAGAAATATAAAAGTAAATCTTTTTTATTTCATTGCGTTTTGGAAGGTAATGTGGAGTGAAATGATTATTGGAAATAAAATTATTCTCTTTTGAATATATTTTTTTATAATTTTGATTTTTTTATAATGTTTCATGACTTCTGCTATTGACTTGTTCTTAAAATAATTTAGTATTACCTCATTCTTTAGATGTCAATATAATTTATTTCAACGCGCATCAAATATTAAAAAATATTCCATACATTTTGTTAAACATAAATTCAAATAAAAAACTATTTAAATTTTGAATTAGCCTGTACTCATGTTAATTTTTGTAATTGATAAAAATTAAATAATAACTGTAACACATTTAAAATATTTTTACCCAAAATTTTTCATAAATTATTGAGTGATTTTTTATCTTTATTAACCTTGAATTGAAATAAAAGAAATAAATTTCAAAATTAAAATTAATTAAACAATATAAGTTTAACTAATAACAACAAAACTTGATAAAAATTCAGTAAAAATCAGCATTCATCATGTCCATATTACTTCAAATATGGATAAAACGCTACTATATAGATTTAGGAAAGATTTAAAAAAAAATTGTTTGCATGATGTAAGTAATTTGAATTTAGAGAAGGAGTTGTTTCAAAAGATTCAAAAAGCAGCTTTTGAGTTTCCGGCAAGCTCTTTAGAGTGAAATGGCACACCAAAATTTGTTGCCCTCGTCACCTACAATTGTGAGAACGTTGGAGACCAGATAGAGAGGTGCGTCCTTATTTCTTTGAACTACCTGTTGCACACGCACTCGCTCTCCGTCCGCATCGACAATGAACCTGATCCACCCCTGCAGAATCCCTTCCTCATTACCCAGCAGCACTCAGGTATGAACGCATTTTTTGCTCGCAATGAAATGAACGAACAATATGTATAAAATCCTTCTGACATTCAATCCTCTCAAATGTCCTTTCACTATCCGTTCTTGGTTTTATATTTTCAAAGAGAGGCTGCGGTGCGGCACTCATGCCATTCGTTTTTTTCAGCTGCGCGCAGGGATCTTTCGAGTATAAAAGGGCCCGCTTTGTGCGAGGAGTCCAGTGTATGTGGCCACCGATTTATTTCTTACATAACGTGAAATCTAACACAAGCGTGTCTGCTGTTTATCATATTATTTGAAACGGCTCTCTAGAAAAATTTTTAGAAGCCTTCACGATTGTAAAAAATTCGCCCACGCTGTGTGTATAAGGAAAGATGCCCATGCAATGCACCATTCAACTGGGGGCTAAAGGTTTTTGAAAATTTCATTTTAACAATTTGAAAAAAAAATTGTAATTAAATTGCAATTTCTTGGAAACATAAAAACTATCCAGTTTAAAAGGTATATTTAAAAAAAAAATTAAATTCTTATAAAAAACTAATTACAAAAAATATTACAGATTAAATAACATTATGCAAATAACTGAATCTCTAATATTCAACTTTCTTTATTTTTTCCTGACTTGCAAAATAAATATTTGTATATTCATTACATCTTGTAGATTTGCATGAATGTGAAGAATTGATAAGTATTTTTTTTCGTAAATAATTTTTTCATCATGTGTGGATTACTAACAATGTGCAGTGTACAAGCAAATCTGAGTGAGAACATAGCGATTTAGAGAACAGCCATAAAATTAAAAATTTTCGCAGATTTGCTTGCACAGTGTTAATAATCCACATTTGATAAAAAAAAATGGTATTTAAAAATAATTAATTCTTTTTAAATTAAAAGTTTAAATTAAATTCTCTAACAGAAATTTGAATAAGATTTTATAAGCAATCTATTTCTTGAAACTCAATTTCTGCATTACCTTTTAGAAGATTTAAATATTTTTTCTTTTTAATAATTTATTGAAAAGTTTCAGCTGATCACCCTATGCTACAGCACCTCTTTTCTTTTTGTCGCTTTTTTCTAATTACGTTCGTTCATGGTACACGGCGTGCTTTCAAGGTCTGTGCAGATGCAAACTGCAAAAGCATGGACTGCTCTTGCTCTCGTCAGTTTCGGCGTCAAGTTCCGAGCGCCGCGTGTTTCGCGAAGCGCAAAGCGAAATGTCAATTGTTTTGGTGCTTTTGCAAAAGTATTGCTGCCGCGAGACAAAACACGAGGAGGCAAAAAGGAGAGCGACACCAGACGCCATGTGAATTGAAGCAAGAAATCGCTGGAAACGGAATGCTTTATGTGCGCACCACAAATAACACAAAAAGCAGAATTAATTCAAATGATGCGGCGCCATTCCCATCAAACTTATTAATTCCTTCCGAGGTGCTCTGGAATGAGAAAGGATTTTTGCCACACTTTCTGCTAGTGTGTGAATCAGAGACGACGGTCATGGAATTTGCATTGAATTGGAGATATCGTCTGGGAGATTATTTTACATTCGTTAGAAAGAAAAGACAAAAACAAAGAAAGCACCTAATTAGTATAGTTACACAGAGGCAGTAAAAATATATATTTGTGTGCGAAGTAAATAATGGAAATATATTTTTTATAAATAAAAAGATGAAATATGTAGTAAGATGTAAATATATAGTCAAGAAATTTTCTGCACATTTAATCTATCAAGAAAATAAATATTTTATATAGCCAAGCGCTTAATTTAAATAGGATAAATTATTGCAGAATAAATTTATAAGAGAAAAAATTGAAATTTTAAGACAAAAGGCCACGCAGTGTACAGAGATCAACTTGATCAAAAATCTATGTTTCAAATCTTAAGAAATATTTTAAGAATTTTTGTTATAGAAAATCAATACAAAATTTCTTTTTCCTGAAACCTCTCATCAACCATAAAAGATAAAAGAGAAGAGCGCCTCGTAGATCAGGAAGTTTATAAATTAGAAGCTTTTACCAAATTAATTAATAAGTACAGCTGAAAACTCACAAAATTGTATTTTAATTATAATATAGTATCTGCAGATTAGTGCAATTTGGAGGAATTTTAAAAGCTCATCAGTTTTCCTATTCATTGGTGCAAAAAATAGAGTTGCTACCTTTTTGATCAGATCACAGAGCAATTTGCAGTTCAATTTTTTATGCACCAGAAATATTTTAAAATTTATAAATTTTCAAACATATATCTACTCAATTAAAATTAATAATAATTTGTAGGGTCCACCTCTAAAATATGGCTCAATAAAAAAATTATTTCATGAAGAAAAGAGAGGCTTGCTTGCTTGCCCATATTATGACCAATTTAGTTCCAAATTATGATTTAAACCATCACAAAAAGATTATTTTTTACTGCAGATAGGGCAACAAGCACCAATAAAATAATGGATTGATTCTTTACTTCTTAAAGAGAGATATTTACATCGTACTTAAAAAAACAATTTATATGCTAAATTTGTTTAATTGTAATCAAAATAAATTCCCTTAATGATAACAAAATTTTAACTTTTATAGTTTTAATAATCATATTACATTAATCTTAAGATTAGGCTGGTTAAATTAATTGAATTTAGTCTCTAATTAAAAAAAAACCTTCTAATCTCCTTTCTTCCTTAGGCTTTCAAATTTCACGGCATTTAATTTAACTTGTGTGATAAGGAGGAATAAAACCGCAAGTTGTAGCTGAACCGAGAACGCATGCCAGTACGTGTTAGGCGATAAAAATTCTGAATCAGCCAACACACACATAAGTCTACTTCCGATATACGTCTGATAAACGCGGCCGCGTAGCTGTTTCGTGTAGGCAGTTCTTCTTTCTCTCGCTTCGCTCTTTGTTGGAGAAAGATCCGAAAGAGATTCTTTTACGCTAGGATGCGCGGGATTCACCCTGAATAAGAATATATTTATTTTTAAGCAGAAAGTAGCAGAACGCTTTATTTATACCAAATTACAAGCATGACTTGGCGAAATGCATGCTGCGATGCATCTCACATTTTTCTCTTGCATCAAGCGAGTGCAAAAAAAACCTTGGAAAGAAAGAAAAAGGGTTTCAAGCCGCGTGAATAATCGATTTCGTATTATCGTGTGTGTGTGTGTCTTCACTTGTACGAAAAAGCGACAATCGCAAAACGGTTGGCATTGATTTTATAAAACAATTTATTTTCTCCAGGAATTGGGTAATTGTCCCCAACTAAGTGTAGTACGAGGAAAAACCAAAGAGCAAACAACAATTAAAATAATAGTGGCTAGGCATTGTTGTAGCAAAAGCTTTGCCAAAAGTTGACTGTCTCAGCAAAATAAACAAAATTTGCTCGCGAGTCACAGTATTAGTAATTTGCTAAGGTATGATTTGAATTCAAGTGACTCAATTCTTATGTCTCATGTTCAACTGCATTTCTGAAATGATTTTATAATCTGGCTTTATCTTGAAATAATTGAAAAAAAATATTGAATAAAAATAACTTTTGTTTTAGCAGAAAATTTTCTCGCATCTCATCAAATTAAAGAAAACAAAAATAATTTAGACAGCAACTTCATGGTCGGTAGATTTATTAAAATTTGGTTTTGCATCATAATCTTTGAGTGAGTTCTGAACCCCAATCAGAAGAGAGGAGCAAAATTGAAGAACAAACCAGAAGTATTCAAAGTTAATTTTGCTAAAAATCAAAGAATCTTGAATCTTTCTTATCTAAAGACTGACTTGATATTTTTGTTAGATTTGTAACCACATAAATTTTTCAGATTTTTTATAGGAGTGCAGACCATAACCCAACCTGCTATAGGACCGTTTTTTTTCAAAATCGAAATATAAGCCATATTTTTCATCAAGGATATAAGTCTGGTTTTCCCTTTTATTCCCTGGATATTTCTTTTTTGCTTCTTCCAAAGTAAAAAAATTACCAACTAACCAATTTTTAATTCTGGCTTGTTAATATTTCGAGCTATAGACTTTGAATTTTCCGCAGACCATGGCGAGCCAGAATTCCGAGAACGATTGCGGAAAATAATGGACTGGACACTCACCTTGGCACCGATCTGGTTGCCGCACTGGCCGGCCTGGAGGTGGACGATTTCCCTCATGCTGACTGCTGAAAGAGGCGACGAGATGAAGAGCGATCGAGCGACGGACAGAGAGTGGCGGCTTAGGTCTGCAGACTGCTGGTGGTGCCGCCGGTGCCACCGGGGCGGAAGTGGAGGGGAGACACGGCGGACGCGCACCTCGAAAGCAGCCACCAGATCTCGATTGCTTTCTTTGTTCTCTTCAAGAGCTGCTGCTGGATATAATTAGTTTTTTTTAAGTTTTTTATTATTTAGAAATAAAAATTCAGTCGAATAGCTGAATTTAAATTATATCTCAATTAGTTTTTACTCAGAGCCTTTCAAAGATAAGATAGTGTAAATTTTGAAAAGTTTAAAGTAAATTGCTCTCTTATTATAAATGCGATCATTCAAAGTCAACAGCCTTGACAATAATCAGATAATTTAAGTCCAGAGGCTAAAATTTTAAATAGTCACAAAACAATTTCAGAATACTTCAGACTAGTGTAAAAATTATTATTATTTTCTTTTTTTTTTTAATTCTCTCCAAAAGTAATTTCTGAAAAAAAGAACCATTGATCTTTACTTGAATCAGAATTTATGTAAAGGTTTGATTAAACTTGACTGCTTCTAGCATAATTATCGTAATTGAAATAATAAAAATACATAGTCTATTTTCTTTCTAGAAACATAAATGGATTTTCGAATAAGTGTCTTCTTTCAAAATCCACCATCATAAGTTTGGAATGCAAATAAATAAAATTAATTATAAATTACTTGCATAAAACACGCGTTCTGCTTCAAAATGCCATTAACCGGGTATTTTCAACAAAAATTAAACATAATCAAACTTCAAGAGATGCCTTTTTGAAAAAGAAGTTTTTTTTACTCGCCTAAATTTTTATATTTCATTTAAATCTGTACAGTTACTATTAGCAATGTTAATTATTTTTTCTTTTAACTTTAAACTCATTTGAATCTTATTACTTTTTCAGTCATGGGAAGGTTATATATTTTGTTATGTTCAAGCTCTTTAATTATAAGATAAAGGCGTGTACTGCTTAAAAAAAGTGACATACATTTTGCTCGAGGCGCATTCATGAACATAAGGATGGTCTGGTAGTTGCTTTAATTGAAACTCAATTAAGGAAGTCATAAACCTCATTGCACCCGACCAAAAAAGTAATTTAATGTCATATACATACAAGTTCTTTCTCGCAAAAGAGTCGAATTTTAGTGCCGAAATGTGCGACATACGATTGTGATTATTTGCAGAGAAGAAGCGCCTCGGGAGCGGAAGTTGGTGATAATTAATATTAGCATTTTATTTGGTGGCAGCGACGGAGAGCCAAGTCTGGAGGAAAATAATAATTATCCGCGACTCTAATGCCCCTTCCTCGTGCAGTTAGAATAGTGCCATTGTTTGAGTTTTATGAAGTAGGTGTGGAAATATTAATGAAGTTGCTTGGCAAGCGCAGTTTTGTCAGAAAAAATTTAAGTGCAATTTTTAATTTGAACTCTTCTCCACAATCTAGTACATAAACCCACATAAACATACATAAACGAGTATTTCGCGCATCATGGAATTATGAAAAATCTTGTTCATATCAAAATATTTTCAGAAAGAGATCAATTAGATTCTTTACTGGGAAGGCAAATGCCAGAATTACAAAAAAATTCATGGTAGAAATAATTTTAATCTTCTTAAGGCATTCACGAGGACTTTATTAATTAATTTATTCTCTGCAATGTTATTGCAATAAAAAAATACTGGTTTCATTTATTTGCAACAAATATTTTGCATTAAAAATAAAATATAGTAAAATTATGAATTAAAATTTAATTAAATTTATTTTATATATAACAAAATAAATAAAAATTAAATTTGCATAATAAATATTTTTTATAATAACGAAAACTCTAATATTATGTAACGTAATGTTACCATGAATGTTGAATAAAAAAATTATAAAACAAAAACCTCAAACCTCTAAATCTACAAAACTGTAAATAAGGAGCTAGAAAAATAAAATTTTATCCCAGAAACCTACCCATCTCTTGCGTGTTACAACATTAAGAATCTTCTAATAAATTAAATTTTTTACAGCGCATTCAAAGTTAATGTTTCATTTTTGCAATACAGAGGCCTGAAATAAACTAAATATTGCTCTTGTTCATTTATTTTACTGACTTTATACTTTTTCCTCCTTCCTCATCCCTTGTCGGGTTTTCCTATGAGCCCTACCCCACCCCAACCTCCCAAACCCCTTTTATGTATTGAAAATTGCACACGTAATGTGGCTTTTCGCCTTTTATACCAACTATACCAACTCTGACTAAAACGCGGTCGGTTTTTAAAATACATGCTTATTCACCGCCGGCTCCGCCGGCTCTTTTAAAAGGGGGGATATTTCCTGACTGTGCCATCCAAGTTCCAAGTGCCATCTCTTGAGCTCAATCTCAAGCCAATTTTATTAGGTTGGCTACGAAAAGTACGAAGCATCCAAGGAAGCATCTGATCTGTCTGTGCGATCTCGTCACGCTGGCAACAGTGATTAGAAATAAACAAAAAAGTAGAAAAAAGCGAGAATGGCTGCCGGTGGGCAATCTTTGCCCGGTGTTTTTCAAGCACTTTTAGACCACTTACAGTTCATTTATGAAAAATTTAAAGGTAAACTAATCAAATTTTTAATCACCAGCTTATATTTTCAATATTTCCTCCGAATGCTACCACTTTAATTCTTGAAACTTACAGAAAACAAAGGGGAAACAGTGCCGCCTGGCTTCACTTTAGAAGAATTCTGGACAAAATTGAGTAAAAATTTAAAAATGATTTTGTTATATATAAATAATAATTCAAATTTTGCTTATTTTTAGGCGATGGAGGGAAGCTTTTGTCGCACGAAACAACGAAAACGAGCATGGCCTTTTCGAAGCCGCCTTTACCGAACGTTATGGAAGCCCAGGGCATTGCAACGGCCCTGGACGCGGCCTGCATGAATTTGGCCACGGTGGCCGCAAGTTTGCCCGCCGAAAGGGGTGCCATTCTCTTCTCAGAGGTTCAGAACGCAACCTTGGCTGTCTTCAAAGCCCTCGTGCCTGTGATATTATCCATCCGAGACAAAATTGAGAAAGGGTAAAAAATTAATCTAAAATTTGTTTTAAATCAAGTTTTCGTAATCAATTCGGAGAAATTTTATAGTAATATTTAATTTAAATAAGGCAATTTACAACATTAATGATAAATCATTATTTTACATCTTGCGAATTTAAATTAGTAAATTATTTTGTAAATTCTTATTTTTTAAGTAAATCTGCTTTTAGAATTTGTGCATCAATTTTTTTCTTTCAGGTTGAAGTTTTAATTTAATATGAACTGTTAAAAAATAAAAATATATGAGTATTACTTCTTTTGCACGACTTATTAATATTCAAAGAAATATTTTTAACAAAATAATCAAATTTCCAGAGCTGAAGAACGGCTTCCAATGACAGGGTCTGTGTGGGAAGCTTGTGAGCAGTTAGGATCTTTGCCAAAAAATAACCTCCAGGCTGTCAACAAGCAGCTGCAGAAAGACGAACTCTTGGTCATGGACGCCCTCCTCGAAGTTGAAGAAGTAGGTTTTGGAATGACATTTTTTAAAAAAAATATTTTTGTAGGTTTTTCTACTAACACAAAGTTTAATTTAATTTTTTTTGTGATGACTGATTGTTCGTCCGTGTGAGTGTTTTGGCCCTGATTTTTGAGTGGGAAAGTGTCTGCAGGAGTTGCGGAGAGCGGGACACGGAGAGTGCCAGGACGCTGGAATTCTGGACGCTGGAATCGGCCTGGTGAAGACTGCAAGAGCCGTTGCCAGGCGAATAGCCTTCACTGTCCGTTTTAATGGAGACTGCAACTCGCCCGAACATGTCACTCAGCTTGACCAAATCGCCACCCAGATGGCGAGAATCAGCCCTGGGGTCGACGACTTCGTCACCACCCTTTATCCACCTGTCGATAAACAGGCAGCTTCGCAAACAGTAATTTTTTTTGTATATAATTTATATTTATAAATTTCATTTTAAAATATGTGTTACAATACACACTGTAATTTGATGTTTCACAATGGTATTTTTTATTACGACTTAATTATTTTGCATTTACTCATACAAATTTGATTACTATTGTTATTCTGCATTTCTTTGGTTTTTTGTAAGTTCTCCTATTTTTTTTAACTATATTTTATTTAATATGAAGACTTTTTTAAATTAAAATGATACGTCATTCTTTTATGCTGATTGATTTTAGGCCGGTGCCCTATTTCATTGTCTGCAGTCGAATCTCCTGTTGATCAGGTCCAGTCATTGTGCAGGAGAGGGTGGCGAACTCGTTGCCCAGTGGGTGAATTTCTTGCTTGGCGCTTCCAACCACAACGCAGGCAAAGTTTTGGCATTTTGTGCAGGAAGTGCACCACCTCCCTCCAACCCTCCACCAACGTAGGAAAGAAACTTTATAAATATGTAACAAACCCCTATTTTGTTCATGACCGAAACTACTCTATATATAAAACTCAAGATCTCCCCCTTCGAGTGAAGAATTTTGTAATGTTTGTACAATGACTTGTACGTACAAATCGAATAAAAATGCATTTTATTATTTGAAAATTTTAAATTATTCAAATTATTATTTATATCTAGCTTAGATTTTTAAATGAAAATGATTTGTTTGTCTTATTTTAATTGCAATTATTTGAGATCAATACTGGAAATTTTTTAACAAAAATAATTGGTTTTTTTAATTTCACATTCAAACTGACTGAATTTATGCAGCGTCGTAAACAGAATAGATACGAAATTGCCTACGTTTCAGGCGTTTTCGTTCCTCGATTTTCATTGGCCACTCTAAATCAGCAACAGATGATCGAGGCGTGTAAACAAAACAAAAACTTGTCACTGGTTTTTCTTCAGTCCGGCTCCTCAAGCTCTAGAAATGTCCGAACACAGACATGGACACAGCTGCGAGGGTGAGCACCAACACGACGAGTCTCCCGAGATGGGGGTGCAGTACAGTCTGTACATGAAGATCGACAAGGAGAACATGGAATGCTTGAACGAGGCGGCCGAGAACTCTGGGAAGGACGTTTTCAAGCCTTGGGAGGAAAGACTGAACTTTGAAAAAGTTATAGCGTTTAATTTTTTGTAATGTCATTCTGACCTTAATTTATATTTTTACCTCATAGTTTGTTGAAAGTGACTGCGACGAGGAACTGCTCTTCAATATTCCGTAAGAATTTAAATCATATTTTTAATTTTGTAATTTTTATAAAATTTTTATTATAAAATCGATCATGTGTTTTTTAGGTTTACTGGAAATATAAAATTGAAAGGAATCATCGTTGTCGGTGCTAATAATGACTCTCATCCTGCCAAAATGAAATTGTGAGTTTTTATTTCAATAATTTTTAAAATTAAAAAATCAACAAAATTATTTCAGATTTAAGAATAGACCCAAAATGACCTTTGATGAAGCTGCAGTGAAGGCTGACCAAGAGTTTGAGATGCAAAGAGACACCACAGGGCGCCTCGAGTATTCAACAAAGTATTCAAATAAAATTCCAATCCTACTTATAGCTAATTTACTGTTATTTTTTAATTTAGAGTTGTGACTTTCTCATCTGTGCACCACCTGAGCATCTATTTTCCCAAAAACTTCAGTGATGGCGAGGAGTCGACACAAATTTACTACATTGGTCTGAAAGGAGAATTCAGCGAAGCTCACAGACACGGAGTGACAATTTGCAATTACGAAGCCTGGGCCAGCCCCTCAGATCACAAGGTTGATCAGGGTGACACTGTGTCAAGGATGATTCAATAAATTATTTCTTGTAAATCGGCTTTTATTCTAATATTTATCTACTTGTTTTAATCTTAAAATTTTCTTCAACTGAAGCTAGTGGTTATGCTGGATGGAAGTATGTCAAACAAGGTCGAGCTTATTATTCGCTCATTGACATATCGATCAAAAAATTTTATTTTAATGTTTTGTGTATATGTAGTTTATATCATTTTAAAAACTTCTTTATGTACTTTAAAGAGCAAAATGATATTGGCCAAAATAGGCGTCATCTTTTACGATAAAACTTCAGACCCTTCAACCGCTTTTCTCAGCAGCAATTAACGTCAGCGGGAAACTGTCGTGCTAGCAGCTGTCACGAAGACCCTGATTTTTCCGGATTTTTCATTAACAATAAATTTTGTACCTTCATAGACTTTTATAGATATTTATATAGTGACATGAAGTGGTGTGGACACTATTTTGACATTTATTTTTCTGATCAAATTAGCAGGAGCTTTAATATTTTGTAAATTTTTCTTTTATTTGTAATTCAAAATTTGATTATTCAGTCCCAATGTAGGCTTATGCTTCCCACCGCTAGGTGGTGTATGAATGTTCTTTTTCTAGTGCTGCTTCACACATTAAAACGCGCCAAAACGCATTTTTAATAAAATAATTATTATCAGCTGGCTGAGATGCCTAAGGTGACTGAGAATCCTGAGTTGTGAGGCATGCGAACCGAGCATGCGACTCCCAGACCGAGAATGCAAGCCAGCCAGAGGCGACTGCGAGGCGAGTTGTCGATCGAGTAAAACGTTGTAATTGTGCCCTCAAGAGTTCGTTGATTTTTTCGAATAATTCGGCTCGATTTATGGTGTGATCATCGCCGACCAGCTTCCCGATCCATCTAAAAATGGGCTCGAGTTACAAACTGGACGAAGATGCGTTCTCGCGCAGACTGAAACGCTTGTATGACATGTGGAAGGTGAGAATAATATTCGCCGACAACATTGGCATCTACTATTTTTAATTTTGGCGAAACCTTTAAATTAAGCTCGTTGCCTGTTACTTAAACTATACAATTTCTGAAATATAGGAGCCTGACGGGGAATGCGAAGGTGGCTTCAAAAACATGGACGCATTAATTGTTCCAGTCGGCAACATCGAGAAATTATACTACAAAACAGCGGCGCTGCAAGTAAGAAAATAAAAAATCCAATATTTTTTATGTGCTATTATTTTAAAATCAGCTCTGGCTCTTCGGTTTTTGACATATGGCGTGGGGTGTTAGTTTTTTCTGAAAATGAGGTTCACTTTTTGGCATCCAAAAAGAAACTGGAAGTCCTGAGTCAGATAGATGTTATAGAAAGGGAGGAAGGGATGCCTACACAGTCAAAAAAAGCTCCATGCCGCGGCCTGAAATCTCTATGCCGTCCTTATGCCAGTCCAGATCAGTGGTCATGCCGCGGCATAGCTCGATCATGCCGCTTAAAAAGTCCTCATACCACGGCATGGGGTCGGTTCGGCATGGCATGGAGTATTACCATGCCGTCCATGCCTTACTAAATTTTATCATGCCGGCATAGCTTTTCCTTCACAGAGGGCATGCAAGCCGCTTGCAAGTCCACGAAACACTTAAATTTTTTTGTCCAAAACCTGCCGAAAACATTTAATTTTATTTCATTCAAAGTTGTTTTAATTTTGACTCAGCGAAAGTAAAAATAGAAGAAAAATTTTAAAAATCTTAATAATTAACTTTTATTATGCGTGTATTATTAACATTAAAATTTTACTTAGCAAAAACTAAGAAAGGTATGTTGACTAAATTTTTACGTAGAAAAATACTTGAAGTTGCAGTAATGGATATAAGTTTAAATTTGATTTGATATTTTACTCTATTTTACAATTTTGTGCGACGACTGGATCTAAAATTTTATTTTATCAGACGTAAAATTAACAATACTATTTTAAATTTTCCAAATTGAAAATATCAATTATGTTTGAAATTAAACATGTGTAGGCTACTTTTTAAATTATTATACATCATACCAAAGCCTCTAATTTGTGTATTACAGATCTAAAATAATATGGCTTTCATATATTGAAATTATTTTTTAGGAGGCGCGCATTTCAAATTATTATTGGGAAAATTTTCATTGAATCTGGGCATATTACATAAGATTTAGTATTTTTGTTACGATTCCAACTCTTTTGATCGTACCTTTGCGCCAGCGCCCTGAGCGCCCAACGAACTTTCCGAGCACATTTTTTATTTTTACCTGAGCTGGTATGGAGTGTTATGGCCGCGGCAGGTGTTAATTTTATTCATTTGTGCGTCGAAATAAGCGCGTAAGGACATTTTAAGACAAATTGCGACACGCAGGAATATTTCCATAAGAAGCTGAGCTGCTTAGAATCCGTTTGGAATCAAAAGATGAAGAAAAAAAAACGTCGCCGGCATCCCCCTCGCGACGCGAGAGCGCAGCCCCTATCATCAGGCACATCAACTAAGCGGCGGGAAAGCCAATATTTCTTTCCTCTCACCATCTTTGCCAAATCTGCAGCCGCGGACTGATTTTTGAAAATTAATTTCAGGTAACAAGCAATATTAATTGATTCAAAAAAAGAGCAACTAAAATGCAAACTTTGCATTGCTCACAATTTAATAATTTTTTAATTTTGTTGTTTGAATTTTTCAGTGTGATGAGGAGAGACAATTTCTCAACTGAGAAAATGCTGAATGTGTACACAGTCAAAAAAAGTTCCATGCCGCGGCATGGATTTCGGCTCAGGTCATTTTCGAGCAAAATCGACCTAAGGCCACGGCATGGCCATACCAGCGGCATGAGGGGTAGTCGGCATGACCAGCATGCCGCTTTCCGCACCTGGCATGCATGCCAGCACCGGATCGGCCTGGCATGCATGCCGTTCGGCAGGCCTGGCATGCATGCCGTTCAGTAGGCCTGGCCTGCATGCCACTCAGATTTTAGGATTTGCATATTTAGTTTTTAAATAATACCAATGTTTACTTTTTATTATTAATATAATACCCACAATCTTTGAAAATTATTTTTACATCAAATTTAAAATTTTCTTCCTTCGTTCCTGCTCCACGCGTACGTGTACGTACATAGGAAAGTTCATCAAACTTTCCTAATTTGTCGGCATTGTTCACTTGCAGAACAGGATTTGCAAAATCTGTAAAAAAAAACTAAAATAAGATCTCATATTCACATATTTGATTTAAAATATAAAACGTATGCATTAAATAAGCTTTATTACAGCAACTTGTAACACGTTATTCAAAATTGATGTTACAAAAATTATAATCTTATTTAAATGAAACAAAAACTACCTTTAATAACTCATGCAAAATGGCATAACGCAAATTCCGATGAATTTTTTCCAGCATTTTCTCAGTTGAGAAATTGTCTCTCCTCATCACACTGAAAAATTCAAACAACAAAATTGAAAAATTATTAAATTGTGAGCAATGCAAAGTTTGCATTTTAGTTGCTCTTTTTTTTAATTAATTATTATTGTTTGTTACCTGAAAATAATTTTCAAAAATCAGTCCGCGGGTGCAGATTTGGCAGAGATGGTGAGAGGAAAGAAATATTGGCTGTCCCGCCGTTTAGTTGATGTGCCTGATGATAGGGGCTGCGCTCTCGCGTCGCGAGGGGGATGCCGCCGACTTTTTTCTTCATCTTTTGCTCCTAAGTTTGATTCCAAACGCATTCTAAGCAGCTCAGCTTCTTAAGGAAATATTCCTGCGTGTCGCACTTTGTCTTAAAATGTCCTTGCAGACGTTGGTCTTGTTGCAGCTTCTCTACACAGGTGAAACACCCAGGATGCCGTACATCCAATAGTTTGTTGAAACGATGGTTCCAAGCTTCGACGCGGTTGTTGGTTCGAGGACCACCTGACTTTTTGACCTCGTGGACGTTCCACAAATGAGGAGGGAAAAGGGGTTCTTTGATTGTTCTCTCTTCAATTCGACCAGCTGGAGTTACTGTGGGAGTAAAGTTAATTAGTTAATATTAAATAGGATTTTTTTTTATTCGTACCAACTATTTCATAACGGCCCAAAACATACGTCGTCGAAAAGTATTCAAGCAGCTTTTCGCAGTCCCAAGCTGGGTCACTGGTTCTAATCAATGCCTTATATGCCGTTTTCACGAGTTCGACAGGGACAAAGGCAAGAGCGTCAAGCTTCCGAACAAACAGAAAATTCTTTGTCCTCCAGGTCAAGGTTTTTTAGGCCCAAACTTTGAACATGTCTGTAAAAACAATGAGTTTAAATGTCCATATTTTATCATTTGTTCATAACCATACTTCCACGTGTTATCAGTGAGATGGAAAAAGCATCCTTGGATGCGTATGGTTCAAAAACAGTTTTTGCTGCATTGAAAACTGCTTGCTCGAAATCAGCAAGGAATATTTCAATATTCGGGACATTCAGGTCCAGGGCTACGAGTTCCGCCATCAACAAATCAAAAGCTGTTGTGTAGATTGATCTATAAGAAAAAAAATCAGAAAATTTCTCCTCAATAAATAAAAAACAAAAACAAACTCAGTCTGGTGTGTTAGCAGAAAGTAAGCAATGTTTAGCCAAATTTCAATTCCGTCTTTCAATTTGTAAGGGATACGGAGTACGTATAGCTGGCTGAAGAGTTTTGGCGGGGCAGCCTTAAAATTTCCATCTCCGCAGAGGAGCGTTGCTTTGGACAGTAACTCAAGCATCTTGTCGGTAGCGAATAGGATTACTCTTTCTTCGCTGCCATGCAAAGTGTCAATCCGAAATAACTTTTCTCCTCCTTCCTCTCCAGTTGTTGTGAATTTCCCTAATTTTTTTTTTAATATATAACAGAGGTAAGGTATTTTTAATTTATATATCAAACCAAAATATTCCAGTTCAGCTAGAGAGGCAGGCTCCTTTGGGAGATTTTTTTGTTTTGATCTCCACATGGCTCTCTTAAGACTGTCGACTTTCGGGAGCTTCATTGCAACCTCATCCGGGACTGATAACAGACGTTTGTCCAAAATGGAATTCGGGCGAGCACCACTCTCAGCAGCAATTTTTTTCATCTCGGCCGAAACATGTCTTGCTTCATGTTGTTCTGGATCCGGTGCTCCGCAGGTGTGCAGAGACACATCGGGCGTCTTCAAGTAGACTTTGCGGTTCCAGTCAGTGGCAACGTAAGCTGTGCACTTGGTAAGTAGAGAATTTTTTGTGTTTTTTTTTTTGACAGTGAAATATTTAATGATTACCGTTGTATTTGGAACAAATTAATCTCCGCCACTTTTGCTCCTTTCGGTCCAAATGCTGTTGGCGATATGAAAATCCGCCATAAACAGGCTGCTCTGACAAGTTTTTAGTTGCAAAGTGTCTTTATTGATTGTATCAGAAGGCAATTACTGCCCAGGTACATCATACATACATTCAAATAAAATTATCAATTTACATAATAGAGAGGAAAATTATCTTAAAAAGAAAAAATTCACATCAATCAAAAGATATTACATCAATTGCATATTTAACAATGAGAATAAAGGGAGTTTTGAAGGAAAGGAATTAGGATATGATATAACTGGTGACCAATTTTTGACTGACACTAGTGCCCCAAGCATGCTTGATATTAGTGATTTTAATCTTTATCAAGTTCTTTGACGCTTTTTCTTTAAGAGCATCTAATAATGTCAATCCTTTGTTTAGGACTTGGTCTCCACAATCCTCTGTTCTTTGTCTTTTATTTTATTTTATTTATATTTGATTATTATTATAATTTTTTTTTTCTTTTTAATATGTACTCAGCTGTACTGTTTGAGAAATTTCTCCGTTAGTTTGTTTTTCAGCGAATTAATGTTAGCATTAACACACCAACTCGGCTGCAAAGAATTCCATAAATGATAACTGGCACTCCTAAAAGAATTTTCATCACAATCAAATGGTGGCAGCAAAAATAGTGGGTGAGTTCTCCCAGCTCTCACTTGATGATCATTGCGCAAGGCAAATAATTTCTTCAAATAGGGAGGAGGGCTATTCCCATGCAAAGTTTTATGTGTCATTAATAAAATATTCAGCTGCATGCGTTCCTCAACTCTTATAATTCCTGCCTGAACATAATAAGGAGTTATTCTTTCGCCAAATTTGACGTTATAAACATAACGTATACAATTATTTAATGCAACATCTAGACGTTTGAGTCGCTCCTTTCTCACGTCACAGTAAACAACGCTGCAATAATCTAAATAAGTGTGGCAAGATTATTGTTTTTACTAATTGTAGCCTCACTTTTTGAGGTGTTAAGTTACGAAATTTATTGAGATTATTCAAAGTTCCGTACACTTTCTGGCAGACTGAAGAGATCTGTTTGTCCCAGCGGAACTCCTTATCAAAATAAACACCCAAATTTTTGAACTCATTTACATACTCAATATTGGAGTTATTTATAACAAGCCTGGGAAAATCATTTATGTTAATTAATTTTTGCACACGCGCAGGGGCTATTATCATAGCTTTAGTCTTTGCCGCATTCAGCTTCAGGCCATGTTTTTCGGACCATTTAGCAACATCCTGCAAAATTAAATTCATAATTTTTATTCATTTTTAAAACAACTTCTTCACGCTCATCCATTTTGGTGCTCTTCATTCACAGGAAACACATTCCCAACCATATGTTTGGATTGGCGCGACAATTTGAAACGTCGAGTAACTTGTGTACCCTAAAAAAGGCATCACGTGACCCACATCACGTGATTTCTATAGCGCCGGCTTGTTAATTGCGTCTTTTTGCTGTGTAAGGTGTGTCTGCGGTAACTTGTTGCCGCATCCCGGTAAAAAATGTGCTCGGAACTCGGAAAGTTCGTTGGGCGCTCAGGGCGCTGGCGCAAAGGTGGCGAAGAGCGCCGATGTTGTGCGAGGGTGAAATTTGAACCAGTATGCGCGGGAAGCACCTTCAGGTAAAGCCACCAGTCAGGGCAGAATCATGATTTGAGTATTTCTAATTACTTCATATTTTCATATACGCTCAAATGAGTTGGAATCGTAACAAAAATACTAAATCTTATGTAATATGCCCAGATTCAATGAAAATTTTCCCAATAATAATTTGAAATGCGCGCCTCCTAAAAAATAATTTCAATATATGAAAGCCATATTATTTTAGATCTGTAATACACAAATTAGAGGCTTTGGTATGATGTATAATAATTTAAAAAGTAGCCTACACATGTTTAATTTCAAACATAATTGATATTTTCAATTTGGAAAATTTAAAATAGTATTGTTAATTTTACGTCTGATAAAATAAAATTTTAGATCCAGTCGTCGCACAAAATTGTAAAATAGAGTAAAATATCAAATCAAATTTAAACTTATATCCATTACTGCAACTTCAAGTATTTTTCTACGTAAAAATTTAGTCAACATACCTTTCTTAGTTTTTGCTAAGTAAAATTTTAATGTTAATAATACACGCATAATAAAAGTTAATTATTAAGATTTTTAAAATTTTTCTTCTATTTTTACTTTCGCTGAGTCAAAATTAAAACAACTTTGAATGAAATAAAATTAAATGTTTTCGGCAGGTTTTAGACAAAAAAATTTAAGTGTTTCGTGGACTTGCAAGCGGCTTGCATGCCCTCTGTGAAGGAAAAGCTATGCCGGCATGATAAAATTTAGTAAGGCATGGACGGCATGGTAATACTCCATGCCATGCCGAACCGACCCCATGCCGTGGTATGAGGACTTTTTAAGCGGCAAGATCGAGCATGGCCACTGATGGACTGGCATAAGGACGGCATAGAGATTTCAGGCCGCGGCATGGAGCTTTTTTTGACTGTGTACCTTTTAATTCCATCAAGAGACAAGGTACTGTAATTGAAAAATAACAAATTAATCCTGTGATTTTCATATTTAGTCTGATGAAGACAAGGCCAATTTCAAAACTTTGATGAACATATAGTCAAAGGAAGTAGAGAAGGAAAAGTTGTTGGCATTTTGAAAAAAGACTTGGATTATTGTAACGACAACTTTGTCAAATCTTTCAAAAATGCTATGAAGAGAGAAAACTTTGAAATTGTTAGTTCCAATATTTTTTTATAAAATATTTTAATTCAGCACTTTTTAAATCATAGTTTGATGCAACGAAAACATTGGTGTATTGTATGGGACAAAAAGATGACCAGGAGTTGAGTGCCATAAGAAAAGCCTTTCGAAGTTTCTGTTGACTTGTATCACCGTTATTTGAAAGTTCAAATTGAGGACGTAATTCGTTCTAAGGAAGTAAGGAAAGCCTTTGTTCATAAACAATTGTTATTAATCACTGTCTTTTGTTGCTTAGAAAGTTAAACATTCGGAGTTGTCCGAGAAAACTGAGGAGGCCATCAACGATAAGCAGTTCACATCAGACTGCAACACTAATTATCTAGACATGAGCTACTCTCCTATCATTCAATCTGGTGGGAGCTATGCTTTGACATTCAGTGCTGAAAGGTAACTGATTGTGCTATTTATTAATTTTTTACTCAATTTATTCAATGCTTTTTCCTTTTGTTAACAGTGATGAAAAACTTTTTGGTAAACAGGAAGCCAAATCGACAGGACAACCCACAAACATTGTTATGGGTAATGTCACTTTTATTTTCTGCATTTTAATTCGTTGTTTTATTAATGTTGCCCTGCTTGACTTTGCTTGCAAAAGCTTTCGCAAGCAGAAATGAGCTTTTCTTTCTTTCTGAATATTGAGTCTCCTTGAATTTGCGCCAAGCTACATTATAGCTTCCTTTTGGGCGCCGGCGCCGCCGCTCCCGCTTAAGCGGTGGAATCCCGCCCGACGCGACTCGGGTACGCGGGACTGCGCTCCCCGCGGCCGTTTGGACAAACAAAAAACCCCATCAGCATTTTAAATTTTGAAAAAAATCAATTTTTTTTCCACGTTAACACAATTTTTGTGGTCAACAAATTGAAAGTAGCGGCCAGTGACTTATTTTTTCTTACAAGTTACAAAAAATTGAAATACATTTTTTTTGTTTAGTTATTTCTATTTTATTCATTTCTACACCTCGTGAAATTAATATTAATTATTGGAATTTAATTTCAAATGGCGTTTCCAATTTTTTAAATTAAATAAAAAAGTAGCGGACTGGCGGTCGGTCCATTTATGTTTTACATGTGGCCAGAGGCGGATTTTCAAGGGGGGATGGGGGGAATTCCCCCCGGGCCCGCTCCTCACCTACCAGTGAAAAATAAAGAATTTTTAAAGAGCGCGGAGTCAGTTGGCGTCGGCCGGCGTCGCATTTTAGCGGCGTTGAAATTGCCAACATTCTGCACCAGCCGCAAATTCTTCGCTCGCGTTGAAATTGCCAACATTCCGCACCAGCCTCAAATTCTTCGCTCGCGTCGAAATTGCCAACATTCCGCACCAGCCTCAAATTCTTCGCTCGCGTTGAAATTGCCAACATTCTGCACCATTCTTCGCTCGTTCCTATGCGCTCATTTTTGAACAAATTTGATCGCCGATATAATTCCGTTTTCGTTGCGTCCCAACCAGCAATTTTTATTGCCTGAATATTCCTGAATAATTTTGAATTTCTTCAAATTAATTTCAGAAAATATTTCACATTATTCAAAATTAGAAAATGTAATGCTTTTTCATCATTCAGGAATAATGCGAATAATGTATGAATATATTTTCACACATTATTCAGCAATATTACTGCACTATTATAAGCAGTTTTATTCCCTCACTGCTTTATATTTTCATTTCAATTTAAGGAATTATAACTGAAATAATGCTGAATATTATTTGCAATTAATCAAAATTTATTATTGAGATACAAATAACTTGTGGCATTCATTCAGTTAAGGACTTCTTAATGATATAGTCTAATCAAGTCTGTACAACAACGGTTTGTTAAAATGTACAATAATTGCCAAAAATTGCTTCTGTTGTGTCAAAGACTTGATTTGACTATATCAATAAGGAGAGTCCTTTAAACTTTGCAATTACACAACAATTTAGCAGAATAAACATAACAAATTATGCACCGTTTGCGTCAGTGCGCACGATAGCGTATTAATTGTCAAGCTTATACCCATGTTTTGACAAATGGCCAAACAATTTTCAGTCCCCTCAAAATTATCATGAGTCCCAGGTCAAAATGTGTAGCGAAATCAGGTACAGGGGAGTTTCAACAAAGGGCTTCTTGGCTGATCTGTACTGAAGGTAGGCTCATCAGGCCATCACACAAACTCATGACTTCATCATCAAGAATTTCTGTAAAAAAAATTATTATGAATTTAAGATTGGGGAAAAAAATGTATTTTACCTTACAGAATGGTTATTCATCATGTGTGTGCTACTCCTTTTAGCCCTTTTAAATTTTTGAAAGATTTCCTTTTACTCGGCTTTGTGGCTGTGGCACGCGCAATCATCTGTGGATAAAATAAATAATTACTTTTTTTTCAAATGCACGTAATTGTATGATATGTAAGGGTTTGCGCCAATAACGCAAATCATTTTTACAATTATTTTCTTAATTAAACTTAATGCTCAAAACCAACTTTGTTTAGAAAAATTAAATAAAAAAAATGTAAAAGTAAATAATTTCTCTACCGCGTTAAAAAAAAATCGCCCTTATATGTTTGGCAACCGAGAATTTTGAGAAAAGATAAATTATTTATTGTTCTGAGTTTTTTCCTCTGCACACGGTGGCGAGAGGCCCGAGAGGGTGTTCAATTCATCGTCGCATAAATGGTGCCATTAAATAATTATTAACATTGCGCGAGATTTGCGGTTAAAAATCTAAATTCGTCACGCGCAGCCAGCACACTGCCCCGAGTCAAGAAAAGCCTAGAGAAAAGAATTAAACGTCCACCTGACTGACAAAATTTAAAAAAAATCGAAGAAAATTGATGATAAATTAATTAGGAGCAGCTTACCTTGTTTCGCATACAGTTGACTCAATCGGCTAGAACTCCAGAAACAGAAAATTTTCTCTGCAAAACCGAAACCCGAGCGAAATTGATTGGATTCAATATGGCGATGCACCGGCCGGCGGTACACAACTGCACTATTGAATTGTATGCAGTGCCGTCTATATTATTGCACTACAATATTCAGCATTATACTGGAATATTTGGCAAAAACGAATAAGTTAATCTTGCCTCAGTAAAATAAGAATTTATTCCACATTAATTTGAAGAAATTATTGCAAGTTAAAACATTTAAAAATTTAAAAATTATTTACAAAATATTGGTGATTATTTTTTTAATATATTCCGTTGTCAATATTCAGGAATATTTATTTGAACCTACGAATCTTCCAAAATCCTACTTTCTTAGCAAAAATTAAAATGAACATATATAGGTGAATATGTTGTATAATTTTGAGTAATGTGAAATATAAATTGCTGACTGGGGTTACTCGAAGAAAAAATCTTCCGGGCCCGGGGAGCCCTTTTTTGACCGGCCGTGCAGAAAAATTATGTGCGCGGCGCCAAAGGCGACGCGCGCGCCTGGGCGAAATAGTGCGTCATATCGAGAAGCAAATTGAATATCTTGGGGGCCCATGGGCCCATTCAGTGCCGGACTGAACCAAAATTTCAATTAAGGCTTTTCACTTTTTGTGACTGTGAGAACCCACATCCCATCAAGAACCCTACCCCGCCCCATCTCCAATTTTTTCTTGCAATATTTTTTTTATATAATCAGACCGAAAAATTTTATTCTTTTTATTATTATTTTGCATGCCTTAGAAAAGATTTAATAATAAATTATTTATCTAAGGATCCTCATCCCTAACCCCTGGAACCCTGGCCTACACATAATGCAAGTCCCAACAGAAAAAAAATGATTTTTTGCGACCATCTAAAAATCTCAGACAGTCCCTAGACAACTTCTTTGACACATTTTTTCTACCCCACACCCCTGGAACCCTGGCCCACCCTTGACCTCGTCGCTACAGAAAAAAAAATGTTTTTTAGCAACCATCTAAAAATCTCGGACAGACCAATTGAATCATTTCTAGCTAACTTTTTTGACACATTTTTTTCTACCCCACACCCCTGGAACCCTGGCTTACCCTTGACCTCGTCGCTACAGAAAAAAAATGTTTTTTAGCAACCATCTAAAAATCTCGGACAGACCATTTGAATCATTTCTAGCTAACTTTTTTGACACATTTTTTTTCTACCCCACACCCCTGGAACCCTGGCCCACCCTTGACCTCGTCGCTACAGAAAAAAAATGTTTTTTAGCAACCATCTAAAATTCTCGGACAGATTTTTTACAATTGTTAAGTAATTTATTAAAAGCTTTTTCCTTGCAAATAAGTGTTTTGTTAACAGTGATGAAAGCTGCTTGCATTTTGGGGCTATTTTGTGCTCATTGGGGACTTAATATAAGCACTTCTGCTCCAATGTTGCTCGTACACTGGTCGTAAACCCGTCGGAAGAAATAGACGTAATTTATATATTCATATTATGATGCTCATATAAAATTATATTTCTAGCAATTGTATGAACTACTTGTGGATCTGCAAAGGGAGGTCCTGAAACAACTTGTTGCTGGAGCTGAAATTGCAAAAGTGTATCAAGCAGGAGTCGAGTTCATCAAGACAACTCGACCGGATATGCTTGCAAATTTTACCAAACACTGGCGGTAAATTATTAAAATTATTGTAACGATTATTGTAACGACATCTTTGTCAAATCTTTCAAAAATGCTATGAAGAGAGAAAACTTTGAAGTTGTTAGTTACAATATTTTTTTATAAAATATTTTAATTCTGCACTTTTTAAATGATAGTTTGATGCAACGAAAGCATTGGCGTATTGTATGGGACAAAAAGATGACCAGGAGTTGAGTGCCATAAGAAAAGCCTTCGAAGTTTCTGTTGACTTGTATCATCGTTATTTGAAAGTTCAAATTGAGGACATAATTCGTTCTAAGAAAGTAAGGAAAGCCTTTCTTCAAAAACAATTGTTATTAATCACTGTCTTTTGTTACTTAGAAAGTTAAACATTCGGAGTTGTCCGAGAAAACTGAGGAGGCCATCAACGATAAGCAGTTCACATCAGACTGCAACACTAATTATCTAGACATGAGCTACTCATGAACTACTACATGAGGCTAAGAAAAGCCTTCGAAGTTTCTGTTGACTTGTATCATCGTTATTTGAAAGTTCAAATTGAGGACATAATTCGTTCTAAGAAAGTAAGGAAAGCCTTTCTTCAAAAACAATTGTTATTAATCACTGTCTTTTGTTACTTAGAAAGTTAAACATTCGGAGTTGTCCGAGAAAACTGAGGAGGCCATCAACGATAAGCAGTTCACATCAGACTGCAACACTAATTATCTAGACATGAGCTACTCTCCTATCATTCAATCAGGTGGGAGCTATGCCTTGACATTCAGTGCTGAAAGGTAACAGATTGTGCTATTTATTAATTTTTTACTCAATTTATTCAATGCTTTTTCCTTTTGTTAACAGTGATGAAAAACTTTTTGGTAAACAGGAAGCCAAATCGACAGGACAACCCACAAACATTGTTATGGGTAATGTCACTTTTATTTTCTGCATTTTAATTCTTTGCTTTTTTAATGTCGCCCTGCTTGACTTTGCTTGCAAAAGCTTTCGCAAGCTGAAATGAGCTTTTTTTTCTTTCTGAATATTAAGTCTCCTTGAACTTGCGCCAAGCTACATTATAGCTTCCTTTTGGGCGCCGGCGCCGCCGCTCCCGCTTGAGCGGTGGAATCCCGCCCGATGCGACTCGGGTACGCGGGACTGCGCCCCCCGCGGCCGTTTGGACAAACAAAGAACCACATCAGCATTTTAAATTTTGAAAAAAATTAATTTTTTTTCCACGTTAACACAATTTTTGTGGTCAACAAATTGGAAGTAGCGGCCAGTGACTTATTTTTTCTTACAAGTTACAAAAAATTGAAATCCATATTTTTTGTTTAGTTATTTCTATTTTATTCAGTTCTACACCTCGTGAAATTAATATTAATTATTGGAATTTAATTTCAAATGGCGTTTCAAATTTTTTAAATTAAATAAAAAAGTAGCGGACTGGCGGTCGGTCCATTAATGTTTTACATGTGGCCAGAGGCGGATTTTCAAGGGGGGATGGGGGAAATTCCCCCGGGCCCGCTCCTCACCTATCAGTGAAAAATAAAGAATTTTTAAAGAGCGCGGAGTCAGTTGGCGTCGGCCGGCGTCGCATTTTAGCGGCGTTGAAATTGCCAACATTCTGCACCAGCCGCAAATTCTTCGCTCGCGTTGAAATTGCCAACATTCTGCACCATTCTTCGCTCGTTCCTATGCGCTCATTTTTGAACAAATTTGATCGCCGATATAATTCCGTTGTCGTTGCGTTACTCGAAGAAAAAATCTTCCGGGCCCGAGGAGCCCTTTTTATGATTATTTTGCATGCCTTAGAAAAGATAAAATAATAAATTAATTATCTAAGGACCCTCATCCCAAACCCCTGGAACCCTGGCCTACACATAACACTAGTCCCAACAGAAAAAAAATGATTTTTTGCGACCATCTAAAAATCTCAGACAGTCTCTAGCAAACTTCTTTGAAATATTTTTTTCTACCCCTCCCCCGAGGAACACTGGCCCACCCTTGCGACTTGCGACCCATCTCGACAGTAAAAAAACCTTTTTTATCTAAAAATCTTGTACAACAGACTATTTTAATCTTTTCTAGCGAACTTTTTTTTTGATAAAAATTTTTCTACCTCTCACCCCTGGAACCCTGGCCCACCCTCGAAATCCCGACAGAAAAAATGTTTTTTAACGACCATCTAAAAATCTGGGACAGACATTTGAATCATTTCTAGCAAACTTTTTTGACACATTTTTTCCTACCCCACACCCCTGGAACCCTGGCCCACCCTTGACCTCGTCGCTTCAGAAAAAAAATGTTTTTTAGCAACCATCTAAAAATCTCGGACAGACCATTTGAATCATTTCTAGCTAACTTTTTTGAAACATTTTTTCTACCCCACACCCCTTGAACCCTGGCCCACCCTTGACCTCGTCGCTACAGAAAAAAAAATGTTTTTTAGCAACCATCTAAAAATCTCGGACAGACCATTTGAATAATTTCTCGCTAACTTTTTTGACACATTTTTTTTCTACCCCACACCCCTGGAACCCTGGATAACCCTTGACCTCGTCGCTACAGAAATAAAATGTTTTTTAGCAACCATCTACAAATCTCGGACAGATCATTTGAATCATTTCTAGCTAACTATATTGACAGATTTTTTTTTTTTACCCCACACCCAAGGAACCCTGGCCCACCCTCGACTTTGTAGCGACTGAAAAAAAATGTTTTTTTACGACCATCTAAAAATCTCGGACAGACCATTTGGATCATTTGTGGCTAATTTTTTTGACACATTTTTTTTTTACCTAACCCCCCAGAACCCTGGCCCAACCTTGACTTAGTCGTGAAAAAAAAAATCTTTTAGCAACGGTCTAAAAATCTCGGACAGAAAATTTGGATCATTTCTAGCTAACTTTTTTGAATCAATTTTTCTGAACCCTCACCTCTGGAACCCCCAGTTTTATTTTCACCTTATTTCCTTACTTTACCCTTTTTAATATTTCAAAAAGAAAGACTAAAATATATGTTCTTCGGGCGGAGTAAAAAGAGGGCGATTTTTTACTTCTTTTCGCCACTTACAATTTGAAAAGGATTTTTTTTACTCTTGAGCAATTTTTTTTTGCAAAATTACGCCCCTTAATGTAGGCAACCAATTTTTTTTAGGGGGGGGGGTCAAGGAGAGGAGCGGCGACTCTCGCTGTTTAGCTGTCTACGAAAAGCAGCGGCAAGAATCCGACTATAGAAACAATTTATTTATTGTTGATTAACTTTTGAATTTCTCATGGGCACTTTTTTTTTAACGGGACCCACTTTTGGTATGGGGTTGGCGGATCTTGTTGAAAATTGGTAGTTTGGTTGCCCTTAGGGTGTAGACAAATAGTTTAGAAGGTTTTTTGAAAATTCTCAAAATTGCTTATTTTACAGGGGCTCAAAGTTGAGGAACTTTACAAAAGATGTTTTCGAAAAGCAAAAATATCTCAGCTCTCCTGCTGCAGATAGCGCATGTGTGTATAATCAAAGTTGTAGGAAATGAGACGCCCTACAACTTTGCCATAGTAACCAAGGTCATAGGTCAAAGTTCAGGGTCAACTTTTTAAGCTTGAATTTTTTGATGCGCCACCAAAGTACCTAGTACATAAAAATTTTTGATTCCATTATAGCCAAAAGTTGCTCTAGTTGGTAGTCAACAACATATTAAAATTAGGCGAGACTTTTTTTTCCCGTTTTCGAGATATTTTAGGTCAAAAGCAGAAAAACGTGGTTTTTCGAGCATTTTCCTACAAAAATCAACATTTAACCGCCCGTAACTTTTTCCCTGCTAAAGTTACGCAAAAATGTATAATGACCAAAAAATGATTGCCTTGACCCTTTCAAACCATGTTTCGCACATAGTGACCAGGTCACAAAAGGTCATTGACCTCGGTGACCTGTGACCTTGTAAGTTCAAAACTGAATTTCAGATACTCCTATGTTTCTTTTCATTGAGGTGAAACATTTCCTGCAAATATTTTTGGAAAGGTCACAGGTCACCGAGGTCAATGACTGGCATCGCTCTCAATTTTCCGCTCCCGCTATCGCTCCGCTCACCAAATTTTTAAATTTCGCTCCGCTCTCAAAATTACTTGCTCTCGCTCCTCCACTCTTTTCGTATAACTTATTTTTTTTAATAAAGTGTCAAATTTTTAATTAATAATTAAATACTACTGACTTTATGATGTTAATCTAATTCATTTTAATGATACAGCCATCAAGACTGAGACTAAAAATTGATCTAAAAATTATATTTTTTTTCTAACACACCTTAACACCAAAAATGTAGACCTATCTTTTTAACTTTAAAAATCTTCTAGTCTATAATATAGAATTTTAAAATTCATGATTAAAAAATGTACACAAATAAAATTATTGTTACATTTCAAAAATATTCTCTATTGTAGGAAGTGTTAAAATTAATAAAATATGTACCCTGCATAATTTAACCTATGATTGTCATAAAATTGTTGATAAGTTTCCAGAGGCGGATTCTCAAGGGGGGATGGGGGGAAATTCCCCCGGGCCCGCTCCTCACCTACCAGTGAAAAATAAAGAATTTTTAAAGATCGCGGAGTCAGTTGGCGTTGGCTGGCGTCGCATTTTAGCGGCGTTGAAATTGCCAACATTCTGCACCAGCCGCAAATTCTTCGCTCGCGTTGAAATTGCCAACATTCTGCACCAGCCGCAAATTCTTCGCTCGCGTTGAAATTGCCAACATTCCGCAGCAGCCTCAAAATTCTTCGAACAATAACAACCTATACCGTGGTTTCACCCTCTCTGCTGATTTTTTAGTTTGCATATAATGGTGTCAAAATTTATAAAAAAATTTTTTATTCCTCTTTTACTTCTCCAGCATAATATTTTTTATTTTATGCTGATTGAATTTACCTTGATTAATTACATACTACTTGGAGAAATAATTAATGAATTGTATTATTTCATTTGATGCAAATTAATTCTCACAAAATATTAAAAAAAAAATCATTATTTATTTAATGCAGTTCTTAAAGTGCAGAGCTTAAATATATATACATTTGAATAATTTGTAGTAGATTCTATCTTTTTTTTAAATTTGTTCTCTAAATTAAATTAAATTGAATTTTTTCTATAATTTTCGTAACAAAATAACTTGTTGGGATGATTTTTTGATGCACTCTACAGTTTATTATATGCATATTTTTTTCAATTCCTCAGACTTTTCCCTTGAAAATTTATTTGTTTGATAAAGATTTTTATTTTGAATTATGAAATTCACTTCACCTATATTATTATTTCGAAAAGTTAATTTACTTGTTTCGAAATCAAGGTCAACTCTGCCCAATACATTTATTATACTGTTGTTTATTCCATTCAAGTCAATAGGAAATTGACCAAAATGAAATAATAAGTGGATTATCTTTAACCTTAATAATAAATTAATTAGCGGCCACATTCTCTACAAACATATGGCTCACTGAGCACTTTTCCTACTATATTTTCACCATCAAATTAATCATCTTTATACTTTTCCTCTTTGCACTATGCCTTTTTTAATATTCAATATTCAAATATTTCAAATTGTGTAAACGACGTTAAAAAAAAATGGTGTAATTATTCCTTTTGTGCAAAGTTTTCAATTAGTGCAAGCGGTGGAAAAGTGTCTGGCACCCAGCACATACACCCAAAGATTTTTAATCTAACCCTTCTCTATTGCCATCCAACTGTTTTGTTAACCAAAGGCGAAGGGGGTCGTTGGCTTCAGGAGGCAGCGTTCGGGTGGGGAGCGCCCGAAGGAGGGGTCGACGCGCGCTCGCAGCTAGCTCGGGCCCTGGTGCTCCGATCGGGACGGGGTTAGCACCACCGGGACCGGCCCTCGCCCAGGGTGTCGTATCTGAGGGTTAACTGGCAAGAAGAAGGGGCGGGCCCATTTCTTCTTGTTCTATTCTACGTAATACTTAATAGGTTCGTTCAGAATCGAAAAAATTTTTATAATCGCCCGGTTTCTGCGCGCGCCCGCAAGGCCCCTAGACTTTCGCCACCTCTAAACCTACCCGCGGCGCCGCGTTCGGCGCCGCTGGCCCCACCAAGTTCGCCGCCTTTTGGCCGCCACCGCTTCCGATCGGAGCGGTGGAACCTTACGGGAAGGACCTCGGTCAACGCGGCACTCCGCCCTCCACGATTACCTAGACGGCGGCGCCGATCCGCCGGCCCGGGTCGGCGCCGCGGCCCCGAAACTTCCGTTTTCGCGCGCCTTTTTCCGCACCCTCCCCGCGTTAAACCTATCTCGTCCGCCGCTATGGGATGGCATTTCTGTCCGACGGCATCGGCGGGTTCGAAAGTCTATTAGAATTTTTTTCAGATTTTTTAAAACAGTTTTCACGGAGTTCATTTAAAAAATAATGCTTATTGGGTCCGCGCGGACCCCACCCTAGCTCTCAAGGGTTGGAAAAAAATCATCCCACTTTAAATTGCCAAAAATATCAGATTGTCATAGGTCAACCTTTTTTGTCTCAGGTCCAGGAAGCAAGGTGAACATTTTGGGCGACATTCCAAAAGTGAAGCATGAAGAAATCTGCGAACATGACGAAAACCACAAAATGTTTAATTGCTCCTTGTAAAAAAGGAAAGACTTTGCCAAAAGTATGCTAGACTTGCTTTTAAGTAGAGCGGCCATAGATGTAGGTTCACAAGACGAAAAGAAATGTCGCCAGCATCTCCACAAGACTTACATTAAATTGAAAGAGAGCAAGCCGACCGAAAGCAAATACTTCCTCCCTTCCAGCTTGGACAAACCAGAAGATTTGTGTCGTGTCTGCTTCAAACTGTATGCTAAGTTTTTCCATGTGTCTGTAGAAGAGATCCGAAAAGAAAAAGCAAAATGAAGCTGAATTTAATGTTCAAAATGGAAATAAATTTATAGTTTTCATTAAGTTTTGTTATATTTTGTCTTCAAAAGGCACCATTTTCAATTTAATTTGGCTGAAGTAAAAATAGTTTGCAAAATAATAATTAAATAAATACTCCAATTTTTTAATCATGAATTATAAATAACTTCTACCACAAAACTTTTATTTGTCTTTCAATGGAGTGAAAGAATTTTGATTCCAGTTTCTATAGAGGTTCTTGTAGCTTTTGTGAAAACTTTTTGCACTTGAGGTGCCCATTTTTTATCAAATACATAGATATCAAATTTGCCGTTCTGTAAAATATCCGCCGCTCGCTCGCATCTCAGCCAGCTGAACAGACCCTGCATCAATGAGCCCTGCATGGAAGCGCTGAGATACGAGCGAGCGGCGAATGAAATGAGCGCCAGTAGCGCCACCGCAGCACGAGAGGATTGTGTCGATCGAGAGCCGCACAGTCAGTCAGTGTTGAACAGCAGTGGCGAGTGGCGGATTGAGGGTCCTTCTCTCTAAAGCAGTCAGTGGGAGATACGCGCGCTGCACCTGACGGCGTTCGCTGATGCGAACAAATTTTCTATTCAGATTTAGCCAAAAGTGAGATAGAATCGACGCGACTGAGACGATGGCTGCCGACGTGGCGGTGTCCGGTGGCCGCGCGTCGGACACACCGTCCCTGAGCCTGGACGCGAGCGGCTGCGTGTCCCTGCAGGACATTCTGCTCGCGTTCAACGCGCCCATCAGCGAGGAGCACGCGTGGGCCCTGTGCTTTGAGTGCGTCAAGTGCTTCCAGAACGCGCTGCACGAACACGGGAAGTGTCTGCTCGTGTCCGAACCAGAGCACATTTTTCTGCACAAGGACGGACAGGTGCACGTCCGCACCGTCCTTCCCGAAATCAGGAACAACTCCTCCTCCGACAAGAATGGTGAGTTCACTTACAATAAAATTACAATCGAATAAATAAAAAAAAAAAAACGCAAAATTTATTGGCAAAAGTGTACCAATTGACGGAAAAAATTTTTGAAGGATCAGATTTCATAGATTTTGTCGTTGTTAAATTTTACCAAGTTTGTAAAAATTTGGCTGTTTATTAAATTTTCAGGATTTAAAATTATCGTAAATTGTGTATTTTAATTTTTGTGTATATTTGATTTACACAATTGGAATTTTTCTTTGAAATTTGAATTAGTTGAAATTTTATTTGGTTGGAAGGAATTATTTATTTTGCACTATCAGTCATTCCAATCACAGTGGCCCGATACCCCAATTCAGTGCTCACTTTTCCAATCGCTCAAATGTTCGCGCGCGCGACTTCTCGGGAAAATCAATAGAACGGAGTCCATAGCGCAGCAAGTGAGCGAACCAAACACATGCTGCCTTGAGCAACGAATGGGCACCCAGACTGCGCTGCTCACTCAATAACCAAAACGTTGCGGAGAGATTTAATCGTGAGTTTCATTCTTAGATTCGGCAATTAACTTAATATGAAAATTAATTTCTCCTGCATTGCAACTTAAAAAAAGCAGAACAAAATATTAAAAACATTCCAGGAAATTGTTATAGTATAGATCAAAGTATTTAATTGTGTTTAATTGTCATTTATACATGTCTTCGGCAAAATTAAATTTTTTTAGATTTGCGCGACACGTCTGCAATAATTCTGAGTAGAATTTATGAATGCTATAAAATTTGGAAACTAGATTCATTAATAAAAAGTAAGTAAATAATGAAAGCATCAGGCTGTTAGATTTAAAAGAGCTAATATTGAATAAAGTTTACTTATTTTAGCTTGCTGTGTAGTATAAAATTTAAGCACAAAATTTAATTTCATTATATCCAGCAATCATGATAGTTAATTTGGAATAAAAAATAATAAAAAAATAAGTAATAATTAAATAAAAATTTGTATGCACTAATGAAAGAATAAATTAATTTTTTACATCGAGTTTACTAACTTGTACTGTAAATATTATTGAAATGCAACACAATATTATTCAAAAAGTGCTCATCATTGGATTCAAGAGCAGCCGTCTGCGGCAGTGCAAAAATTATTGCACACCTCATTTATCGGGGCTGACACGGGATCTAGTTAGCATGTAGAGTGTGTGCACAGCTGCATGCATTGTGTGTTTCAAAGAAAATGAAAACTTTTGAGAGCGTGCATGAAATCTGAAATCACAACGAGTGCAAATAATGTGGCAAATGCGAATCTCGAGACAAAGAAAAAAAGGGCACAATGCGGAAAATATGGAGGCCGCCTTTGCGTTTGCCGCCGGGGGTTGGCAGGGCGGCGCCGGAAAGTGGCACGTGCGCGACGACGGCGCCCCGTCTGCACGGCGCTGCTACCCTGCAGGGAGGCTGAATCACCACTTGGCACTGAATCACCAACAACCAATTCGTGGCTTATCACTTATAATAACTCTTCCGCTGCACGCTGAGAGAGATAACGAAAAGCGGATTTATTGTTTTAGCAGTGACTGAAGTTCATTCACGTGACGAATATTAGTGTTTGGTGGTGAGAAAGAAAGTGAATCACCCCGACGAATTAGTGTATGAAATTAATGTCAAATATTTTCAAATACAAAAAATTAAGTAAAAAAAATTTTTATGCCGTCTAGTGTAAATTATATAATTTTTATTTATTCATGCCCTGTTTGCTGATATTTAATTTAAAGATATATTTGATTATTTTTTATTTGAAAATTGTTTTTATAAACAAACGTTTTAGCTTACAGAGTATAAATTTAATTGACAAGTCATTAAATTTAAGGTATCGTGGTAAGGAAATAATGTTCATCTTATATTGACTTTTTTTTAAGAGCAATACGTTTTGCGACTCTTTTCAATTGGTAATGTAATTTATTAATCAAATTAGTGCATTGACAGTTGAAACAAGATAAAAAAATTAATTTTTATTTAAGGAATAAAATCAGATCTTGAAGGAATTCAATTTAAAGAAGTTCAAAAATAAAAATTAGTTTGCAAAAGCGCATTGCATTTTTCAATATACCATAAAGCTTCCTTAGTATCTTAATATTTCATCTAAATCATAAAATATTATCGCCAGCAGATTAAATAAAACTCGTGTTTTCTTATTGGAATCACTGTGCCGGAAACAGCAGGCAGTGATATAATTATACGCCGTCACGCCATAGTTTTCACGCCTTTTTGCTCCAAAATTTCACGTCCATCTCAAGGCCGACGTGGTGCAAAATTGTTTTTATTTGACTAAATCTTTATTCTAGTAAAAAATCTTCACGTCCAACTTTTAAAAATTTGATCATACGTAAAAATGCCATTTTTTATTAATTAAAAAAAAAATGAGCCAGAATATGTGTCTTGCCAACAATCGCCACTCTGCAACCTTGCCCGCGTTCATTTTTCCATCGCAGAGAGACAGACAAGGTCTCTCTCACGTCATATGCTCTCATCACAAACTGGGATATGTAACAATTTTGTTAAAACCGGGCGTGGTGATACTGAATAGTAACACGGGCCGGTGGGAAAATGAATGAATGACAAACTCCGGTCCTCCTCTGCAGCCTATTTGGTTTTTTATTTATGCGTCTGCAGCGAACAATCGCTGCGCCGGCTATTCGTCAAAAACACAAAACACACTTTGGCGCCTTGTTGTTCGGTTTGAGGCAATCTCGCGCCCCCGCACCATCGCCACGTTCGGTCCATTGATGTGCAATTCTAATGCGAGAAGAAAAGATACCCTGTTGCGAAAATTAGTTCGAGCAGAAGATTTATGGCCCCTTGTATGAACACAATCGTTTCCACTCGTTATTATACTTCCAGCTGAGAGAAATTTTATTTTGAAATTTATTCACTCCAAATGAAAACCTGATGATAACTTTTGAAATTATAATTAAGTTGAATAAATACACCAAATTTTTATATTTCTAGAAACAATTTTGGTTTTCAGAGGATATTCTTGCTATCCAAAGGTTGATTTTTTTTTAAATTTTGTTCACTAAATGGGCGAGCAAACTTAAATATTCCTGAATTTTTAGTAAAAATGGCGCCTAAATTATAAATTGTACAGACGGAGAAGAATAAATAATAATAATAATAAATTCCAAAATCAGATAAAATCAATCAATCTTGTAAATTGAGAAAAAAAATCAAAAAGAAATAAGAAAGTATAAAATAAGAGGAACATTGATTACTTTTATTTAATTAATTTATAAAAGTTTCCAAAATTTCATGCACTAATTACATTTATTTTTCACTCAAATTAATTGAATATCCGTTACAAGGTGGGAAAGATGAGGATAATATTAATTGGATTTATTTGTGACCACCAAGCTTCAATAAATGCGAGGTTTGATTTCAAATTTGAATATTCAATGTGCTCTGGAAAGATCGCTTGGAAGAGAACGGACGCCGTTTAATTGCAGAACCTGTTCGCCGCTTTTGCCGGCTCGCGCGATACACTTTGCATTTTTTGCTCTGGATAAGAAGAAGTCGGATGGACGGATGGATGGATTTTCGACGCGCGCGTTTAGCCACTGGCCACGGCACTCGCGGAATGCAAAGTGCGCATAGGGGCGTGCTGGAATCTCGTTGCTCCACGAAAGCCATGGGAATGTTTTGCCAACTCTGTCCTTGAGAGAGGGACAAATTTTCCCATTCTAATTTTTGCTGCGTACGCGAAAAATTCTCATCTTGCTCCCAGAGAAATATTTGCTCTTATTCTACCTTTATCGATATCTTAAACACGTATTATTCGCTTATGGAGAAAAGTAACATTATTTTACTCTTAAAAGTATCACGAAAAGACGATTTTAATGTGAGTCTGAATAGTACTATAAGGACAGAATAATATGTCTTTAAGTCTTTCAGGTATAGGTCTGTAGCATTGCTAGGTTACCTCTTAAAAACATCTTATTTTACCATTATTTGATACTTCTTTTACTATTATGGGCCCTCATGGCCACTCGTATTATTCTAGTATTCTAGTTTTTTTTTGGTGACGTCACTCATTTGGTGACGTCACATCAGGGAATAGATTTGCATAAATCAGAGTAATTAGTTTTCTACAATGATTTTGTTTATTGATAAATCAACAAAAAATTATCACAAATTTTTGAGAAGAAATTGGCACTCAAGGAGACAATCAGGGAATGGAAGAAAATGGGCTTTGTCCTCATTGGAAAAAATTGTTTTATAAAAAAAAATATATATTTTTTTTTTGTATTTTGTAGCGAGCTCTCTTTGCTCATGAAATAGGGTCGCAGACCGTGACCAAAACTGGTAGACTTTTTTATGACAAAAACAATTTTTACAACCTCCTTGGAGGACTAAGCCCGTTATCTTCACTTCCAATAATCACAAAAACAGAATAAGAATTAGCAAACAAAGCACAAAGCTGCAAAGTTGTTAAGAAAAAGACATTCATTTGTATCTCTAAATACATTAGACCTTCCAGAATAAACAATGATTTACTTAATATTCGTACTAGTGCAAAATTAAGAAAAATCAAGCGCAAATAATAGGATTATGAACCTGTTACAATATTTTAAATTAAATGTATTGCGTAAAGAAAAGAGATAAAAAAGACTTTTATAAAGTATGATCATTGTCTGTTGGAGATGAATAATTATCTGCATAATATGAAATAGTTTAAAAATTTGAAAAATAACTGTTATAAGTTCAATAAATTCAAATTTAATTTCAAAAGAGAGAAAAAACCGGAAAAAACTATTTAATTACATTACATACACATAGAATTGTTGAGTAGAGGAGAAGCATTGATGACAAGAAGTTATGGAGATTGTTTATGGCATTCAGTTGCCTTTCTTGTCTCTGGGTGACTATTTGACATCTCATTTTTGTTTTGTCTGAAAAATTGAAACAAGTAATTAATATTTATCCATAATATAATTCTAAAAAATTTAAAATTTATTTTTTATGTTAGAA